CCGTTGCCATGCTTCATGTTGCCTCTGTTTGCACTGCTCTGTTCCTCTGAAAATTGTGCCAACTTCTGTGACATTTTAGAACCACCTTGTGTACAATGTGGGAGGTCATCGACCAAAAGATAGGGCCATCGGCCATGGGAAATTGGTCATCGACCAAATATAAGGCTATCGGCCAAGTGTTTGTTGCCGATCAGCACTGAATGTGGTCGATCGACCATCTCTTCCTGTGAAAAGCTCATGTTGCTGCAGCAGAGGACAAACAGAGCATGGCAATACATTTACAAGACAATGTATGCACAACCACCCTCCCTATCATGTCATGAGCTCAAGGGAGTATGGTTCTCGACCCTCGGGCCACCAATCACACATTTCAATGCATGATGGCCAAAGAAGCCAAGTGTGCAATTCAATATCGAATGAAACGCACAAAACACATAAGGGGCCCCAATCTCTATCACGCTTGATCGAGAGGCAAGGGAATGCACACATAATGCAATGTAACCTAAGCATGCAAACAACTCAAGCATGATACAAGTCTAATGCAACATGAGCATGCAATGCAACTAACATGCAATAGGCATACAACCTAAATATGCAAACATGCATAGCATGCAACAACATGCAAAATGATGCAAGCATGCAACAACATGCAAGACAAGCATGCAACAACATGCAAAGATAGACTTAAACTAAAGTGGACAACTTTTAAACATGCCCAAATCAGTGGCCAAAATGCTAAGAAATGAGGGACAAAAGCATATACAAACATGCATACTAATTGGCCTATCACCGAGGCATGAAGACACAACTCTTAAGCACACTTTAAAGAGTGAAAAGTATGCAAGTATGACAACACTACAAACTCTGAAATGATGTTAGAAATGATGCCAAATCACACATATAATCATAATCATAGCATGCATAAGGCTTAAAGCCTAAGACTAGCAAAGGGACTTGAACCAAAGCTACACAAAACAAAGAGCATATGGCAAGTATAACCAAAAACAGTCCTAAATCATGTCAAAATGAGCCTAAAACATGCAATGGCCAAGGCCAAAATATGCTAGAAAGGTGGGCTCAAAACAAGGAGCATGCAAGGCTACAAAAAGGGTGTTACACTACACCTATCAAAACCGAATATGGTATGATTTAAGCAACCAAAATCAGAGTTACGGCATGTTAGAACAAGGCCAAAAACACATTGAAATGGCATCCTAGAGGCCTAAACATGGAGGCACACACAATGGTCCATTCATGAGGCATAAGACATCAACTCTTTAAAACATTAAAAGAGTGATAAGTGCAAGTGTATGAGAATACTATATGGACTGAAATAACATAACAAATGATGCCAAATCACTGAAATGGCACAAGTAAAGCATGCTAGTGACTTGGACACTCAAAGCTAACAAGCTAGATTGCATGGTGGTTATACAAAACAATGCAAGCATGAGCAAGACAAGGCAAAATAGAGCTCTAGCATGGTAAGACAAGGTTAAAAGCTTCATGGAGTTGAGCCAAAATCATGCTAAAATGACATGTTACAACATGATGCATGTTGAGGCAAACAAGAGGATTGCAAGACAAGTATATGAAGCATTTAAGAGGCCATTAAACCAACTTGAAACAGAGGTATATTATGGCAAAACAAAGCCTAATACACACTGAAATAAAGCTAAAACAAGTTAAGCACACAAGCCACCAACATAAGCCATTTATGCAAGCATTCAAGATGACAGGGAGAGGGGATGACCCTCTCCTATTTAAGACCTCAAAACCACCTTTCCACCACTGAAAATACTCTGGATTTCAGTGGTAGAAAGGTCGTGCAAAGCTAAGAAAAAAGGCCAAAAGGGATGGCCTAAAACAAGGCCTAACAAGGCCTTGGAGGGGGTAAACAACACCAAACCAAGAAGAGACCTTAAACAAAGGTCTAAAGCAAGTAAAAACAGAACTTTTATTAGTTAATAGCTAAGCTTAAAACAATAAGCAAGAAGGGCTAAAAGCTTAAGCAAGAATGGGGTATTAAAAGCAAATTTGCTCACCCTTGAAAAACACCTCCAAGAACACAACACCAGGAAGTTTTTCTGATCAAAATCACCTCAAGAACCCTAACACCAACTCTTTAGTACCTCAGCAACCAAGGATGGTGTTCTACTAGGTGCTCTAGTGCAAAAGTATGAACAAAACAACCTTTAAGGCACAGACACACACACAAACATGTGAAGAGAGGGAGATATAGAGATAGATAGATACAACTCTCTAACCCTAAATTTTCAGAACTTCTGAGAAGGGAGGAGGAGTTCCCCTCTTATAGAATTCAAAATTCTAAGCTTCCTAAGCAAGCTAAGGCAAGGGACAAATCCCTCCATACACGTGTATGGAGGGGAATTGTGGATGCCACAGCTGGCATAAAATATCTGCATAAAATAGATGAACAGGATTCGGCCAGAAAACATGGCCGATCGACCAACATAAGGGCCGGTCGACCAAAAATAGTACCGATGGAAACAAAACAAGGCCGATGGCTTCGAGCCTTGGCCGGTGGGTTGAGGTAATGGCCAACAAGCCACCCTCTTCCCTCAAAAGCCAAAACACAAGTTCTTGGTCCACAACCAAGCACAAAACAGACAAGTTGAGAGATCTTAAGGCAAGTCGCGCGGCCGAGACCTCCGGGAACTCAAAACGAACACGAAAATGGATGATCATCGAGTGTTTAAACGATGACGTCCAAGTCTTGAGGACGGTCAAAAATGGGGTGTCTGCAGAGAGGTACAAACTACTTAAGGATCAAAGATTGTTGATTGAATTAGGTAGTTGGTCAGGGAAAAAAAAAACTAGTTTGAGAAGAAAAATTATCCAATGCTCCTGCAGATAATTCAAAGAGAACAGCTTCTTTCTAGTCTAAATATGGACTAAAGAATGTTGCTTGAGCACTCAAATTGTGTACCCATTAACATATTAAATATTGGGTCAAGTTTTTTTATTTGGATCTAATTGTGAATTTGTAAATAAGTAGGCAAAATCTTAACCATTAATTTATAAAAAGTGTCAATGTGACAAACATCTATTGCTCATACTAAACTAAACGTCCAGTTTGAATATCCTGATTGGTTATGGAATACAGACATCCAAACTGGAGGAGCTCCACCCATAGCCAGAAATTGATGGGAACAACAAGACACATTAAGATCAGTTGACTTACAAATAAATGCCATCTTCTTTTTAAATGTTTATAACAATTATTCAGTTAATAGTTTATTATATTTGGGAGAGTTGGTAGAGAAAATACAACAATATCGTATACCAAACTATCACAATTAAAAAAGTAAATCCCAACGTTGATTGTATTTCCATGATTCTTTTCTTGCTTATGAACAACATTTCCAATCAATACTCTCCATATTGCCATTTTCCTACTATAATTAATCACAAAGTTCCTACGTCTCAATAGAAACAAGTGCTAGTCAATATCTCCAATGTGATCCCCTATCATTGAATTGAGAATGTTTTTACCTCCTAACAAGCAAACTTGGCAACATTTCAAAAAAAAGTAACACGTCATTATTTTTTATGCGAATTCTCTATCAAGTAGCCAACAATTCTGTCATTCAAAAATGATTAAGAATGAAACAAGGGGAATGCTTTGAGTTGTAACCTGAAAGATTGCATTTCAAAGTTAAAAAACTCAGCAAGGCCAAGTTTGATTGAAATCTAATTTAAAATCAGCTACATACAAAAAGTGCAAATCTTTAAAGGTTGCTACATGATGTGAGAAAAGAAACAAGAAAGAGTCATGACATGCAACTCTTATTTAACTCGTGCATTAAGAAAACTAAACAACTTAACAAAGCATTAGAACTTAATACAGAAACAAGTGTAATATCTTTTGAAGTGATCCTGTATAGCTGCTATCCAGATGCACATGGACTCAAATGCAACAGCTACATGAGACACCTCTTCAAGTCGACACCATTGGTTTATTGTGCTACTTGATGGAATAGATCTAGTTTTGAAATAAAAGCATTAGCAACTCAATAATAGCATATACATAGAAACCATAAAAGATAATTCAACAAAGTAATGCTTCAAAGATAAATTCTACTTGCCTAAATGACGCCATTTGTTTTTGCTGATTTCTTCCTTTACTATATCAGTGGGCACTCCTCTTGGACCTTTTCATACATTGTTTTCCTTCAACAATTTTCATCAGGCATTCTGGACTTCGAGTTACAAACATAAGATATCCCATAACCATTCCAAATACAAAGCTGTATCCATACCCCATCACAACAACTTTCCAGTTAAATCTGCCCTCCCAATTTGAATTTTCATCATGTTGGAGTGTTGGTGAAGGTGGCAATGGCTGTTGTTCCTCACGTATCTTTGATAAGGGAAATCCGCATAAAGCCAAGTTCCCATTGTATGAATCATTCTCAAATGTATTAAATTGGCTCCCTTGAGGAATTCATCCCACTAGTTGGTTGTCTGAAAGATTTAGTACCTCAAGAAACATTAGACTTGCCAGTTGCTGTGGAATCTCCCCAACAAGCTCGTTTGAGGAAAGGTCCAACGATTCAAGGTTTGTTAAATTTCCAAGTTAAGTTAGCATATGGCCTATAAGGTTGTTATGAGATAAATTAATACCTCGAAGCGAATTAAGCTTCTCAATGGATTTCGGGAATCTCTCCTTGGAATTTGTTGCTTGATAAATCAATGATTGAGAAGACCATTAAGATTCCTGAATATTCAATCTCCCGTCCTTTTATCACCACCACCATAGAATCTTGGTAATAAGTCTCACCCATGTATTTCAATTTCATTTCATGTGCATCCACATTCATCATAGCTTCAAATTGTTTGATATAATTTGTTGGCAAAAGACCAGTGAAATCATTGTAAGACATGTCGATAATTCTCAACTTAAGGAAAGAATGTTTGCCCTTGGTCTTGAAGGTGCCTATGTGACCATGAAACCTATTAAATCTCAAGACAAGCACCTACAAGTTTCGAAGAGTTCCCAACCAATGGGGGAATGTATCATTTATCTTGTTTTTTCCAAGATCTAGAACTTCCAAGTGTCTACAATTGAGCAAAGATCGCAGAACTTGTCCTTCAATTTGGTTGCCATTCAAGTTAAGATTCCTTAGCACGTTGCCTTTGGTAAATGTTGCAGTAAACGTGCCACAAAAGCTATTGATCCCTAAATTCAGCACCGATAGACTATTACTCAAGTTTCCCAAACATTGTGGAATCAACCCACTCAAACTGTTATTTGACAAATCAAGAACTTCAAGCAACCTCAGATTGCAAATCAATTGAGGGATTTCTCCGGTCAAATTATTGTCTGAGATAGAGAAAACAATTGTTATGTTAGGCGGAATAGGGAGTGGTCCTTGGAGTAAGTTGGAGTGCAGGTCAATATACCATAGATTCATCCATGGAAGACGCTCTAAAATTGTAAGGAAATTATGAAAAAGATCTAAATTTCGCAATGAAACCATATTGAATAACCATTTTGGAACTTCACCATGAATTTTGTTGTTTGAAAGGTCTAGAAAACTCAATCTAGCTTGTTCTCTCAAGAAGTTTGGGAATTCGCTCAAGTTGCAAGAAGCTAATCCTATAAAGTCAAAGTTGGTCAAGGTAGAGTTGACACTATTGTTGATGTTCAGTGAGAGACCATTATATGAGAGATTAAGACAGGACAAATATTTTAGCTTAAGCAGCTTATCTAACTCCACTACACCTCTTAAGTTATTTGATGAAAGCACCAAGTCTGTTAGGTTTTGGAGTTCATAAACTGATCCTGGAATTGGTCCATGTAGCTTATTGTTACTCGAGTCTATATAATTCAGTGAAGGTTGAGCAAACAACGAAGACGAAATTGTCCCGTTGAGTGTGTTATTTTTCAACATGATCGTAATTAGCTTTGAAAGCCCAACTGCATATGAAAGAATGGGACCAATTAGTTGATTATCAGAAAGGTCCAATTGAGTTCATGTTGCCAAGAGAATCCGGTATTTGACCGTTCAAATTGTTAAATGAAAGACGCAAGTAAGTAAGTTGGCTCAGGTTGCCAAGGGAATCCGAATTTGACCGTTAAAATTGTTAAATGAAAGATCCAAGTAAGTAAGTTGGCTCATGTCGCCAAGGGAATACTGTACTTGACCGTTAAAATTGTTAAATGAAAGATCCAAGTAAGTAAGTTGGCTCATGTTGGCAAGGGAATCCGATATTTCACCATTCAAATTGTTTGCGGAAAGATTCAAGTTAGTAAGCTTTGCAAGGTTTGAAATTGATGTGGAGATTTGACTGCTAAAATTGTTAGACCAGAAGCCTAACTCGGTGATTTGTGTTAGGTTCCCAAAAGAGGCTGGAATTGATCCTGAAAAGTCGCAACCAAAGAGGGACAAAATATTCAAGGCTTTAAGATTGCTGATTGATTTAGGCAATTGGCCGAAAAAACTTGTATGGGAGAGATCAAGAAACTGAAGGGAACTACATTGAAGTATGGAAGTTTACCTGTGAGTTCTGAATTTGCTTTTACATCGAGCTCTCGTAGGTTTGGAAAGTGAAAAATGTTTTCTGAGAATTTCCCACACAGTTGACAATAAGCAAGACTAAGAGATGTCAAATAAGATAGATTTAGCAGAGCATGAGGTAAAGGTGAAGAGATATCCAACACATTAAGGTGTAGTTCTCTTAATTGGGTTAGGTTTCGAAGGAGCATATTGAAAGTGTGTTGTTCAAGTTTCCTTCATCATTACAGTAAGAGAGATCAAGGGAAACCAATTTGGAAGATGCGAGATTTTTGAAGGAATTGGGCCTTCAAAATGAGAGTAAGAGAGGTCAAGATGGGTCAAACTCGCAAATGGGCCAAACTCGCAAATGGGCCAAACTCGAATGAAATTCTAGACAAATTGAAGTCATTGAATGCAAGATTGAGGCTTTGAAGGTGATGAAGTTGGAAGAGGGTGATTGTAGAATGCCCGGAACTCCGCTCCGCGTGCGAGGGCGCGGATTGTAGTTCTAGCTACTACAGTTCGGACTCCTGTCACGGTTCTGAATCTAATCTCACAAAGTGCAATGTAAGACTGATAAATCACCAAAGAGTCCAAATCTGGCAAATCGTTTTGGAAAATCAATTTTAGTCAAGAAGTGCCAAACATGGACTACTTTGCCAGAATTCAGAGTCGCCACCTAAATATTTTTGAAAAATTTAGAAAACCCTAACTCGTGCCTAACGCCACGTGTCCGTCATGATCAAAGTTGCCTCGGCTCGAGAACTTGGGTACGAGGGGGGAAGGTCATGAAATGAGCACCCCCGCTCGCCCGATCAAAGATCGGCCTTTACTAAGTATGATATGTTGTTTTTGAAAACACATGTGTTCTTATTCCGGTTATTAACCTAACTTACTACGTGATGCGCACAGCACACAAGTATAGACTAAATCACTCAAGTTGGAACAAAACATCTCATGTTTGTTTGTTTGAAAATGGTTTGAAAGTACTACTCGCAAGTAGGCTAAGATGCGGATTTGCCACCCTCAAGTGGGCTTGAAACATGATGATTTGCCACTTGAAGTGGGCTTAAAACTCACATTTCAATGAATTGTTCCAATTCAAGCAATGAAGCCTTCATCCACAGGCATTCATACAGTTAAACATTTAAGCAGTTAGCTTCATGGCAAGCATGCTATCATGGTAGTCACTTACACACATGCAAGGATGCTAAAACATAAACACTCAAGTGTACTCCAAGCCAAAAAAGAAGCTAGTTAGTAATCATGCATGATCCTAGCTATGTTAACAATGTCTAATGCAACACATGCAAAAATGCAACTAAGATAGGCTCGGCTATTCTAAGATGGCATATGAATGCAACAATTGATACATGTATTCAAATAGGAATTGAAATACAATGCAGATTGAATGATGCGCCGAGCCCAATACATGTAATACGAATGAATGATGCACGCATGCAAGCATAAGGATGCTAATTGAAATATACCCTAAACTAACCATCGAAAGCTGGTAAATAAAAGGGAGAAAGACGTGGGGTTGGAAGACATGCATCACACACACGCACACTTATTACAACATTTGACCTCTCGACGGAGGGTCTGAATAAATCAACTAACTAGCTACGCTAAGCTAATTAATTATTACAATACAAATGAATTTGAACAACTAGCTAATCTAAGCTAATTAAAAGGTTACAAAACGAATCAAATGACTAGTTTACACAAACTAATCATAAGTAATGAAATAGCCTCGCGGGCAAGGAAGAGATGCATGCTCGGTTGGCTTCGCTTGGAAATCAACTACCGTGCCTCACAATGCCTCTGTTTGCACTGTTTTGGACTTCTGAAAATTGTGCCAACTTCCAAGATGCTTCTGATCCTCGTTATGGACATGCTGAGGGGTGGTCGGCCAAGAGGAATGGCCATTGGCCAAAGCTAATGGCTATCGGCCAATTATGATAGCCGATCGGCAGATTAGATGGCCGGTCGGCAGCTTTGATGGCCGGTCGGCCATTGCTTCCTGCAAATTCTCCTTTTGCTGCAACAGAGCACTAACAGAGGCATGGCAGTGTATTTGCAAGAAAATGTGTGTGCAACTACACTCCTTATCATGTCTTAAGCTCAAATGAATGTAGTGTTCGGCTCTCAAGCCACTAATCACACATCTCAATGCATGATGGCTAAAGAAGCCAAGTTACACAAATCAATGTCAATGAATGCACACAAATGCCACATAAGACTCGATGAACCTCCACCTTATCATACATGATCAAAGGTGTCGGTGATTAAGAAATGAGGCATGTTTCATCACTTTGAGTATGAAACGTGCAACATTCCTCGTGTTTGGATTGACGTCCAACCCAAACACAATGCAATGCACACAACATGCTAACATAATGCAATGCAACAACATGCAAACACAATACCATGCGACAACATGGAAACACAATGTCATGCCACAACATGCAAACAACAATGCAATGGCAAGGGCTATGTAATGCAATACTCAATAGACCAAACCAACCTCAAACAAGCCTCATGCATGTCGAGACAATATCCAAAAAGATCTAAAATGATAGCAATAAAAGAAATAAATGCATGCTCATGCATCGGCCCATCAATTAGGCATAAGAACACAACTCTCAAACACAATCAAGAAGTGACAAACATAGCAGTGCGACAACACTACATGCTCTGAAATCAGGTGTGAAATGATGCCAAATCACGCACGTAACACAAGCATAGCATGCTAGGAGGCTCACAGCTTAAGGTTAGCAAAGGGACTTGCACCATGGCCATATCAATCAAGCCCCAAAGAGCCAAGATGACTTAAAACAATCCCAAGGCAGGTCAAAGCAATGCCAAAAACATGCTTGAACAAAGCCAACACAAGCTGGAATTAAAGGCATGAAGCATGGAGCATACTAGGCCAACAAAGAGGATTACACTACACCTACTAAAACCAAGCATGAGATGACTTCACCAACAAAAATCAGAGTTATATCATAGTAAAATAAGACCAAATACACACTGAAATGGTAGCCCAAAAGCTTAGGCAAGATGGCATACACATTAGCTCATGTTTAAGGCATAAAGCACCAACCCTCCAAAGCATTGAAAGAGTGAAAGATGTGAGCGTATGACCACACTACACACACTGAAATCACCTACTAAATGATGTTAAATCATGCAAATAGCCCAAGCAATGCATGCTAGTGACTTGGAAACTCAAAGCTACTGAACAAGATTGCACTAAGGCTATACAAACCAAGGCATGCATGACCAAAACAACATAAAATAGAGCTTAAGCATGCTAAAACATGAGTAAAAGTTTGCTGGAGTTGAGCCAAAAACATGCTAGAATGATGGTCAAAAGCATGATGCATGTTAGGCTAGTGAATGGAAATGCACTACAAGTGCAAGGAGCATGCAAGTGGATATCAAACAAACCCTTGACAGAGCTATAACATGCTGAAATAATGCCAAAAACATGCTAAGATGGAGCCTCAAAGAGGTAGAAAAACATGCTACTTTGATGAGCCATCAACACAAGCATACAAGAGAAGAGGAGGGGGGACAACCTCCTTCTATTTTGGGGCTCAAAACACACTTTCTACCACTGAAAATCCACTGGATTTCAGTGGCTAAAAGGCCAAGAGAAGGTGATCTCAAAGGCCTAAAGAGGTAGCACAAAACAAAGCCAAACAAGGCACAAAAGGGGGTAGACCACCCCCAACACCAAAGATGCCTCAAACAAACACTTTAAGCACTTGAAAATGAAGCTTTTTATAGTTGAAAGCTAAGCCAAAAGAAGCATGAAAATATGGCTAAGTAAGCTATGATAACAAAGCTTTAAAGAGGTAAGAGGCTCACCCTTGAAGAACCACTTCAAGACAGCAACTTCTGAGGCAAAAATCAAACCAAAACCACTCAAATGCAACCTTCAAGAACCTCAGCTCAGTAGTGAAGGTGTTTCACTAGGTGTTTGTGTGCAAAAGTGTAAAGAAATGACACTTTTGAGCACAAACAAGCACAAATGTAGAGAGAGAGGAAGAAATATATAGAGAGAGAGAGAGAGATATGTTTTGTATCTCCAATTTTCAGAACCTTTGGAAAGGGAGAGGGACCTCCTCTCTTATAGAAATTCAAGTCCTAAGCTTGTTGGACAAGCTAAGGGCTTGGTTCAATCCCTCCATACACGTATGGAGGATGAGTTTTGTGCTCACCAACTATCACAGCTGGCAATAAAATATCTGCAAAAGCAAATAAAAAGGTCTCGGCCAAAAAGTATGACCGACCAGCCATAAAGGATGCCGACCGGCCACCACTGATGGCCGATGGAGAGAATACATGGCCGATAGGCATGAGGCCTGGCCGATGGGTTGTAGGGCTGACCAACAAGCCACCTCCTTCCCTTAGAAACAAAACCACAAGCTCTTAGTCCACAACCAAGCACAAAACAGACAAGTTAAGAGGTTCTAAGGCAATACGCGCAGCCGAGACCTTCAGGAACTCAAAACGAACACGAACATGGATGATCATCGAGTGTTCAAAGATGACGTCCAAGTCTGGAGGACGGTTAAAAATGGAGTGTCTACAGTGCTGTTCGCTTGGATGGTGCCCTAAAGCTGGCTACAACTAAGGTCAAGTCTAATTACATGACCATTCAACCAGTCGCACGTGACCCCCTTCCACGAGCAACAATCAGTACTCTCATTCCAGAACACCATTTTAGGAAGAGAATCTGATCCACACTCTAAAGAGGCATCAGAAGTTATGGTAAATGTTCTTTTAAATTGGAGAAGTGAAAATCTCTGGTCCTCAAGGCAGGTATGGTGTGCAAAAGCAGAAGAAGGAGAAGAAGAAGATAAGAGAAATAGCAGAAGAAATTGATGAAGAAACATAAGCCAACTCATTTTGTTTTCTTATAGGTAGGAAGATTCAGAGAGAGAGATATATATGAAAAGGAGAGGAAAGTAAGAAAGATAGTAGTTTGATAATGGAGAAGGAATAAATGTATTACTCATTCTTATACAAAGCAAAGTCTTTCTATGGTGGTGGTGGAGCAGCCCTGCCCGTCAAGCATGGCAACCATGACTTTCAAGCAAGCTGGACTTCCTCCATCAGCCAATGCCATGACTTCAAAGTCTTTGTCTTTAATTCCAGTGGTCCGAAAGCCATTAGTAATGGTTTTCCATAAAACCAACCGGCAAATTACATCACTAGTCATATATTTTTCCATGAAAAATGCTAGAAACCAACTTTACGGCCCCAAATTTATTCTCAATGTGTTTGTGTGGTAGATATTGATTGAATTGACAAAATGTGAAGTCCATATATACAATGAATCTGAACCATTAATTTTTTTTTTTCTAAGTAAAATAGACCTTTTGGATTATTTACTAAATACATTTTTCATAGTACAAGGCAATAGAAAATGATGAATAGTTTTTTTGATCAAATTGTTGAGTATGATTTTGATTAAAAACGCTTATTCAATTTTTTCAATTAAAAAATATATTTTTGAAAGTAAATTAAAATTGTTTATATAATTGTTGTTCATATTTTAATAAGAATGGTACAATTGAAATAAAAGAACTTATTAGGGAAAAGTGAACTTTTTTAGAATAAACTAGAAAAAACAAGACTTAATTGTCTACATTGAAATTTAATGGGACTCAATAATACTCTTGAAACAAGACTTATTGATATATTTTTTTAAAAAAATATAGACATTTTGTTATGCCAATTTATGGCAAAATTACGCATTTTGTGATTGATATTATAAAATTTTATAATAGCGTTACATATTTTGTAGTAGGGTACATATAATAGTATGTATCCCTAAACAGGTGTGGGATGCACGCCATAACATTTTCATATATTTAATGTTATATACATAAGTTGTTATTTTTTTTCATTTTAAGAACTATATATATCATTTTATATGTAAGTATTATATTAATTAATAAAATAAAGTGAGTTTTATTCTTTATTATTCATTTTATTAAAAAATTAATAATCATGTTTGTTATCAAAAATTAATACATAAAGTATGGATATAATTTGTCTAAATATATTTTAGGTGTTAATTTTAGTGGTCCCAAAGCAAGTCAAGATTGGTTAGTCAAGAAAAAGCTGGAGTTGGTATTAGAAAGCAAGAGTAAATGGAACATTTTGAGACTAAAATTGCTAGAGAGATTTGGGTGGCTAAAAGAGAGAGATAAATTTTTCCAAGTCATCCAACCAATACAAGGTCTAGCCTCTAGCCCTTTATGTCAACTAATGTTCTTTTAAATTGGAGAAGTGAAAATCTGTGGTCGTTAGGGCACGTATGGCGTGCAGAAGTAGAAGAAAAAGAAGAAGATAAGAGAAATAACAGGAGAAATTGATGAAGAAACATAACCAACTCATTTTGTTTTTTTATAGGTAGGAGGATTCAGAGAGATATGAAAAGGTGAGTAAGAAGGATAGTAATTTGACGATGGTGAAGAAATAAATGTATTACTCATTCTTACACACATTGCTAAGTCTTTCTATGGTGGTGGTGGTCAAGCACAGCAACTATGTAATTTTATCAACTAGCCATCATGACTTCCAAGTTCGCAACAGTGATTTTTACCTATTGTGTCATTTTAATCCGAGTAATTTCAATTAATCCTATTTTGAATTTTGAATTTTAGATTTTGTGTTAATTTGGTTCAATTGATAACGCTGATTATGGTTGTTGAAAGAAAAAATGTTACTGAGTTAGTTGAGAATTGAATTGAATAAGTTTAGAATCATGAAACATGCCACTTATGTACACATTTTTCACAAAAAGAAACATCAAAATTTGTAATTAATTGGACCAAATTGAGATAAAATCATAAATTAATGTCAAAAGTCAATTGAAATTATAAAAACAAAAGTAACACAAGAATAAAAATATAAGAACTACTAATATAAATTTCCTTAAATCAATTAAAAGTTGGTAATGCCTTGATTATTTATAAGGGTGGTGCACTAATAAATCCCAAATTAACAATTTATACACTGTTTAGTCCTAAAAGTTTTCTTATAGACTGAAAGATCCCATTATAGGGAAATTGACCGTAGAGGGCATATACATCAAACATCATCATCATCAAAACAACATCAAACATCACAACATCATTATCAAAACAACATCAAACATCATCATCAAAACAACATCAAACATCAAACATCATCATCAAAACAACATCAAACATCACAACATCATCATCAAACAACATCAAACATCACAACATCATCATCATCATCATCATCAACATCAAACGTCATCACATCATCAACAACACAACATCACAACATCAAACATCACAACAACATCATCAAAACAACATCAAACGTCATCATCATCAAAACAAAACAGGAAGAGAAAAAACCCTAACCCACTTCTCATACAATGTAGATGAAAATCGATAGACATAACAAATTAAAACTTCATCAACATCAACAAACATCAACTACATCATTAAACATCACCAACATCATAAAAACATCATCAACATCAACAAACATCAACTACATTGAACATCATCGACATCAACAAACATCAACTACATTCAACATCCCTAACGTTGAACATCATCGACATCAACTGAGAGCCTCCACACCAACATCAACTGAGAGCCTCCAACATTGAACATCATCAACCTCATCAACAACAGGGTTCAATCCCGGCCGAGATTACCAGTCTGGACCGGCTCAACTACCTCCGGCTCGATTCAAATCGCTTCAATGGTACGATTCCGCCTCTGAACCAAACCTCTCTCACGATCTTCAATGTGTCGAATAACAACCTCACCGGAGTGATACCGGTCACGCCAACTCTGTCGCGATTCAGCATTTCTTGGTTCTCTTGGAACCCTAACCTCTGCGGCGAGATCATCGACAGAGAATGCAGTTTCGCTCCGCCGTTCTTCAATTCCTCCTCGATTAGACCCTTTCGTAGACGATCAATGCCAGGGAGGGTGAGGAGGAGGACCATGGCCTCTGCTCCGGCGGCGTACCCGAGAACTACCCATTCCAAAGCCATTTCTCTTGTTTGTGATGAGATTTGAAACCGTAGATCTGTTTTTCAAGTTTCTGGTAGAAACAAAGATATTATAGGGGGTCCTGATGTTTGATGATTTGTTGATGATGTAGTTAATGGGTCTTAACATTCAAATGGGTATATATGTTGCTGATGTTCGATCCTTGTTTGATAACTAATGTTGGTGCTGATGATGATTATTAAATAAACAACATTATCAAAATAAAATGGGACTAAATGGTGCATAAGAAAACTTTTAGGACTAAATGGTTCAACTTTTCAAAAAATAGGATTTATGGGTAAATTTTCCTATTTATAAAGCAGGTAATAAAACATTTTGGGACTGGTTTGATTTTAATTGAACAAAAGCATAAACGTAAGATTCATTATTTTTTGTTGTCTCACAGTTTAAAAAATATATGAATTTTTTGGGGTATTATTTTTCACAATATATTTAAAAAAATAGACATTTTAAATTGTTTACTAAATATATTTTTCATAGTACAAGGCAACAGAAAATGATGAATCCTATGATATAGTTAGTTTCATCAAATTGTTGAGTATGATTTTGTTTGATGTAGTGTATTCAATTTTTGCAATTAAATTTTTTTTAAGTAAATTAAAATTGTTTATGTAATTGGTGTTCATATTTTAATAAGTATGGTATAATTGGAATAAAAGATATTATTTAGAAAAAGTAAACTTTTTTAGAATAAATAAGACTTAATTTTCTACATTGAAAATGACCTATTAATACTGTTGAAAATAAGATTTATTGATAAATTTTTTTAAAATTTTTTTTTTTTTTGAATAAATTGAGTTACTCTAGTTCCCCTTGATAATTGTTAGAATGGGAGATTTCTAAAAAATGTGATTGGAAATAAGAAAAAATTATTCTATAGGACTAACCTATATTTTATGTGGCTTGTCCTTCCAAGTGTACGAGGATTCAGAGAGATATGAAAAGGTGAGTAAGAAGGATAGTAATTTGACGATGGTGAAGAAATAAATGTATTACTCATTCTTACACACATTGCTAAGTCTTTCTATGGTGGTGGTGGTCAAGCACAGCAACTATGTAATTTTATCAACTAGCCATCATGACTTCCAAGTTCGCAACAGTGATTTTTACCTATTGTGTCATTTTAATCCGAGTAATTTCAATTAATCCTATTTTGAATTTTGAATTTTAGATTTTGTGTTAATTTGGTTCAATTGATAACGTTGATTATGGTTGTTGAAAGAAAAAAATGTTACTGAGTTAGTTGAGAATTGAATTGAATAAGTTTAGAATCATGAAACATGCCACTTATGTACACATTTTTCACAAAAAGAAACATCAAAATTTGTAATTAATTGGACCAAATTGAGATAAAATCATAAATTAATGTCAAAAGTCAATTGAAATTATAAAAACAAAAGTAACACAAGAATAAAAATGTAAGAACTACTAATATAAATTTCCTTAAATCAATTAAAAGTTGGTAATGCCTTGATTATTTATAAAGCAAGTAATAAAACATTTTGGGACTGGTTTGATTTTAATTGAACAAAAACATAAACGTAAGATTCATTATTTTTTGTTGTCTCACAGTTTAAAAAATATATGAATTTTTTAGGGTATTATTTTTCACAATATATTTTAAAAAATAGACATTTTAAATTGTTTACTAAATATATTTTTCATAGTACAAGGCAACAAAAAATGATGAATCCTATGATATAGTTAGTTTCATCAAATTGTTGAGTATGATTTTGTTTGATGTAGTGTATTCAATTTTTGCAATTAATTTTTTTTAAAATTGTTTATGTAATTGGTGTTCATATTTTAATAAGTATGGTATAATTGAAATAAAAGATATTATTAAGAAAAAGTAAACTTTTTTAGAATAAATAAGACTTAATTTTCTACATTGAAAATGACTTATTAATACTATTCAAAATAAGATTTATTGATAATTTTTTAAAAAAAGATTTTTTTTGAATAAATTGAGTTGCTCTAGTTCCCCTTGATAATTGTTAGAGATGGGAGATTTCTAAAAAATGTGATTGGAAATAAGAAAAAATTATTCTATAGGACTAACCTATATTTTATGTGGCTTGTCCTTCCAAGTGTACAAGGCCATATTATTAATTTTTCATACATTTTCTCTTACATTTGAAGCAAACTAATTATGTGTCTCATTGTTATAAGATCGAGGCACAACCAAAAATTATTTAGTAAGTTTGGAATACCGCGTGTCCATGTGCCCGTCCAATAATATTCTATAATTTCTCCACTATTTCCTTATTTTGAAGTCATGTATTCATTTAGCCCCTACTATTTGCCAAGCACACAGCCAACGTGAAATTCTCACAAAATAAAATAATTTTGTAACGCCCCGAAATAAATACAATAACCCATCCACAACATTAATAAATAACAACAAATGATAAAGTGATTATCTTCCATTAGTTTCCAATTGAGTTTACAAAAGAATAACATATACAGATATACATTGACAATTTTATCCCTGAATCGATAGCATATATTACATAATAGAATGAACATCAAGTAAATAAGAAATGCCCTAAGGATTTACAGTTTTCCAAGACAGTGCTTGGTTACAACAAAATGGATTTAAATCCAATACAATTAAAACCCTAGGCTTGTACAAATAAATACAACAAAATAAACAAAATGAAGCCCTTTGCTTCCAAATCCTCCCAAGCTATTGCCTTGGTGGAGGCATATCATTAGCACCTGAAAATGGTTTTCCGCATAGGGTGAGCCAAAACCCAGTAGAAATAATCCAACACAGTATATGAATCTTAACAAAGATATAAGGGCGAAATGCATATGCAATACTCGTGACAAAACCTTTTATATCCCTTTCCGAAACCATGTAATGCCAGGTTCATGCCACAATTCAATAATCATTTTCTTTACATTAGAAAACAGTGTAGTGAACCACAACTCTAGGAATCTCTAGACAAGTATCATATTCCACGGAAATTTCGTCCGCGAAAAATCGTAAACCGACACCTATGTAAATGTAGGCTATACAAGCACTACTATTGTTATTTTACAGATATTTTGTCCGCATGATCGGCACCCATGTTTTTTAGGACTTTCACCATGGACACACAAGCCAATTTATTTGATGTAACAATAACTTTCTCCCAGATTCACCCCTTTTTTCTCAAGACAATATACATTCTTCCATGTATTAAATGTGTAACAATGCCAATGCAAATGGATGAGAAAGTAGTTTTAATTTGCCTAATCCTCATGCAATTTTTACAACAATCATAGTTATCCTCCACCGATGGCCCAAAGCAGATATCTCTAAACAAATAGATAATTTCAATAAAGATAAACTTTCCAAATTTCAAGAAGTGAGTGATAATGCATATCCACCTCCACCATCCTCATCCATAACAACTCAATTTCACCATTTCAATGTCAATTCCATTTATCAATACAAAATCAACATTTGAGATTTCTAGGGCAAAAACCCTCTTTCCTATATAAACCATTTTCCCAAGGTAAAAACCCATCATTTCAATATATCTCACTAAGAAATATCTATCCACAACCATTCCTAATAAACCATTTGAAAACCCCTCTTTTGGATTTCGAACCAAAGCCCAAGATTGTCGCTTGAGCGAGCACCTGGAACAAAATGTCACACCTCTAGGTGAGTAGATCTAAAGATCTAAGTGAGAAAAAATGAGTTTTGAGAGAAAGAAAGAGAGGTCATGGGTGAGGAGGGAAAAAGAGGAACAAGTCATGAGATAAAAGTGCTTTTGGGTCTATTTATAATGACTATGTATTAATAGAATAATGGCTCTAAAGTCAAATGAAAAGTACAAGTCAAAATCCCCAAAAAATAGGTCCCAAGTCGAACAAAAATATGGAAATAACTCACAGGGGTCAACCGTTGAGACAGTGGTGTTGACCCCTAAGAAGAAAAACTGAGACACTAATGTTTTACCGTAGACGAGGGTCGACCCTCAGAACCAGTGGTGTCGACCCTATTTTTCAGTAGGCAACCCAGAACAAAACAACATTAGAAGATTCAACCCCACCAAGACTGGTGTCGATCCTAAAGGCCAACAACAGGGCAAGTGTTGACACCACTAAGACTAGTGTTGACCCCAAATTTCAATAGCCACACTAAGAGCACAACAACAAGGTGGTGTCGACACCACCAAGACTGGTGTCAACCCCAAGAGCAAAACAAAACAAAGAAAAGAAGGCAATGTCGACACCACCAAAGATGGTGTCAACCCTCGAAGCCAAAACCCAACAAGAAAAGAGAAAAAAATGATTGCTACGGATATGGTTTCCTAGATCCAAAAAGCAATAAATGGGTTGGGTCTAAGCCCGGATCGCAATAAATTCCACATAACCACCTAGTAGAATGGATCCACTAGATAACTTGGAAATAAAGGAATACCTTGATGTTAATACAGGTTGATATATGTGAAACAGAATAATTCCTCCCACATAACCACTTGGATTATGTATAGTATTTTTCTTTTATTTTATCAAATTAGTTTGTTTGATATAGTTTTTATAATTTTTACAACTAAAGAATATATACTTAAAGTAAATTAAAATTAGTTATACAATTGTTATTCATATTTTTGTAAGAATGGTAAATTTGTAATGAAACATATTATTAAGGAGACATGAACTTGTTTGAGAATAAACTAGGAAAAATAAGACTTAATTATTCACATTAAAATTTGGTAGCACTCACTAATAATATTGAAATAGTGGTTTGAATCATACTATTTGCAATATGATTCGTATAATTCTATACGAGTTTTACATAGGGCGATACAAATTGCAGCTAAGAATAAGAAATTTGTTGGAATCGTCCAATTCAATAATGGAATCGTAAAATCGAAATGAATTCAATTTGAATTATTTTCATTTTTTACTTCCAATGCTATTAAATGACCTCATTTGGTGTCATTGACCCCCAACAAACAATAAAAATAAAATAGTAGAA